TACTCTCCTGACCTTAGTTCTCGAGCTACGTATTTCATTTTGGTACCAACGTGTTCGCAATAAAATTCTATAGAAGAACATCAGTAAAAAAAGTCACGAAACGTATAGGGATACCAGCACCAAATAAATAACTACGAAGATGACTCGCCGTGAGCGCTCAACAGCAACAAAATGTTTTTACTCTTGGGATTGTTATCACCTCCACACTTGTCCTACAGCGTTAATTTTGGTATCAATGGACTCGCAATGAAATTCCCAACATGGTGATATGAATATAAACATAGAATAATGATCGCGGCCCACCCGCAAGAGTGTGGGAAGTGGTGAAATTGTTACCCGGTATCGGTGACGGGACGACACATGTGCGATACGGCGCTTTGAAAGTTTATACTTATTTCACTGTCCCGACATTATTATTCTATGTACGTCATTCATTTTTGTGTCAATGTGTTCGCAATAGAATGTTCTATGAACCCGTAGGTAAAAAAGATCAACAAAGCGTAAGATAGAATAGCGCCAAATATAAAACAACGCTGGAACATATCAATGAGCGTCAAACACACACGAAATGTTTTTACTTTTGTGATGTTTGTCAAGTTTATACTTGTTGCACACAGTAATTTTTGGTTGTACATTGATCGGAATAAAATTCCCTAAACAGACATATGCATATAATACATGATATGGGGGAAGCATTACCAGTATAAACGGCTAAAGTCACCCACCTGCAACCCGTTTGGGGCACTCATGCAGACACACGCTACACCCAAAAAAAAATCTATGAAGGTTCGAGTCTACTTATGGCAGTTTATGTGATAGTGTTCATTCTGGTATCAAAATACTCGTTTCAGTTTGTAGTTCATGCGATTTTCAGAATCAACTGAATCGCTGGAGGTTCAACATTTGAGTCGGAGTCATCTGACAAAACCGTCTCGTCAAATGGCAGTGTGCCAGACATCTCGGGTTCTGATTCGGTTGCTGCTTCAGCTTGAGGTGTTGAAGTGAATAAGGGCAGCCTCACACCAGATGGTCGAGGAGTTTGCATGGCATCAGCATAGGCAGGACCTGTGTCATCATTTATGTCTGGAGCGTGCCGCAAGTGTTGAGATACTGTTGCTGTTTGAGGCCACTCTTACGGGTCCCAGCACAATAGGGCCCAATTTGCCACCTCGTGGAACTGTATCAATGTTAGCTTTTTTTGATCAGTTGTGTTGTATTTGTACAAAACAAAGGCATTATGCAAAGCCATTTGCAGGAAATAAAACGTTATCTTTTAGGTCCACTTGTGAGTTTTCCTGGTAAAATGGTAATACCATTTGATCGAAGTGGTCCACACATTTCATGAACTTATTGTACCATGCAGCCTAGTGGTGAGAAAGAGAGCCTCATGGCGCGCAGTTTGAAACAAACCCAAAGTAAATCGGATTAAAATTGAATTTTATACAAATATTTTTTTCAGGACATCATTTTATGTCCACATCGCGGAAGCGGGTAGGTGGATCAGGACTCCGGGCGGAGTCCTGATCCGCACAAAGTGTTAACAGAGTGGAAGCTCGTCAATCAAGACAAATTGTCTGTAAGTGGCTTGCTCGTTACCGGAAATGCTCGTAGATAAAGCCGCTCGTCATCCGAGGTTCCTCTGTATGTAGAAGGTCCTGAATAAGCGGACAAGAAGAATTAACAGAGGACAAAAATTGAGTGACCGTATCCTCAAGGAAGAGGAACAGAGAAAGGGAGAAGTGGAAATAACGGTGAGGGCCCAAGTTGAATCAAGAGAGAAGGCCAGTAGAACCAGCCAACAAACAAGCCACTCTGAGAAGAACACGGCCTCTGCATCCTGGAAATAGGCACTCAAAGCAGGGAGAACCACAGAACGCCACAGCAGAAGCAAAGATCCCCATCAAGAGGACTACTCCCGAGCACCTCAACATTCTCCAGAAGCCAATCAGAATGACGCTCAAGGAGACTAAAAAAGCACACGATGCAGCCTAAGTGCTGATAGCCATGCAGGCCACCCACCACCACCAAAATGACAACTGAGGAACGTGCACATGAAGCTGGAGGATGCCCACATTCCAAGGCAGAGCAGGGGGCAAACAGGCAAGTACGAAGGGGGGCTCAGAAGTGAAGCCCTGCCCCCCCCCACCTCCACCCAAAAAAAAAAAAACCTGAAACATGATTGACACCCCGTGCCAACGAAGCATGTGAAGTGACAAAAGCCGCGCCAGACGTCAAGCGAAAACAACAAAATGTCCACTAGCCAAGGTAACTCACAATGCACCCAAGATGGGGAAGAGGACCCAAACTTAAGAAGAGGCAGGGCCCAATGGCGAGGCATAACTGGGTCATGCATTAAGCATGTAAGTACGGCTTCGTGAGACCGTTTAGGGACACGAAGACAACCTCTGGAAGAATAGCATTGGAGGCCCAAAGAAACCTGGAAGCGAAACCTGAGGGAGCAGCATTGAAATCCAATTTGTACAGGGAGGGGTATATGAAATCTCTCCCCTGCAACAGAAGATCCTCGGTGGCAAATGCGAGGAACCATGAAAGGCAAAAATGGGATCCAATGGATCCCACACTAGTAGTAGTAGTAGGCATCCTTCAGTCTCGGAAGACTATGGAGTTGCGTCCTGACAGGGCGCAAAGCCTGGGTAGGTAGATATGGAGGAGAAGCTGTTACCCATGCAGCAGGTCTCCCCTCTCCACGTTGCTGAAATTATCCAATAGAAAGGCAAATGCCAATACACATGGTTCCAGCAACGTCGCAGGAGCTGCCAAAACGAGGTCGACGTCAACAACGAACTGCCTTAGGGGCTCCAACTCCGGATTTTTCCTCGAGATTGACTCCTGAAGCCTTTCCCAAAAAAGGGGTATGGCCGCAAGGCAGCGGAGGTTTAAAATCAGGGTTTTCCTTCCCCTAGATGGGCTGCCTTCCCAGGCTATCGAGTCCCATCTACCTGGAGCAGCTGGTTTTATGGCGCCAGAGGCACGCCCTCGCTCCTTCTCCTGTCGGTAAAAGCAGTTCCACCGGACTTAAAGACTAAGCCACCTGTGCAGGCCAGGAGTTGGACTTGTCAGAGGCTATTGGAGATGCATGCCGTATAGGAGCATTTTATAGGTCATGGAAGCTTGTCCCCCCATTACCACCCCCTGGCTATGACAACCCCTTGGAACTAACTCCCCCAGAAACTGCACCAGAGGGCCCTGGCGTTGCATTATTATCTACGTCCACTGCCCAGGATAGAGTGAGAGAGACGGAGTCCAAAGGAGAGGCTTCAAAAGAGAAGTGGCTAGCCGATAAGAAGACCTAGAAGCCTCGATGGGACCGAGAGGCTCAACTGCCTCCATGCCCGAATCGGAAAGAGCAAACCTCCGGAGGTAACCAAACCATATTCCGAGAAAACTCTAGCCCAACTCCAAAGCCACCATGCACTACGGGGCCGGGAACAGAGGAAGGGTAAACCCCGCCAGACAGGAAGGGAAGAGGCAGTGTGGACTGAGTCAAGGTGGAGGTGACCAACACCCCCAAGCCCAAGGCCCCTAAATACCAGGCGGGGCAGCTCTGGGACATCCAATCTAGATCTCAACAAGACTTAAGATGAAGAGCGGTCAACACCTGATAAGCTCGAGCTTATCAGACAGCCTAGTAAGGAGAGCAACATGTTAAGAACACACACCACACGACACAGTCGAAGGTATCACAGACTAAGCAGGCAACATAGTGGAGGCAGGTGCAATGAATGTATGAATATCATCTCTTGACATAGCTGATAAATGTCTCTCAACTCGTCTATGGTGAGGGCATGATTTGGGGGCAGTCATTTCCCTTAGGACCCATAAACCTGCAGGGGATTACCAGCACCTGAAGGCTACAATCCAAAGAGGGCACTAGGACACTAGGACACTATGCTGGAACTTTCAAAAATGGCATGTTAGCTGACACAGCCTGGTTAAGGTGGCTATGAAGGCCGATCTCCGTGTGCTGAAGTGCAGTACGCATACAACCAGTGCACTTCACCAGCTAAGATACTCCAGCCTGGGGAAAGACAGAAGCCAAAGATGGCAGACTTACCTCAAGGTGAGGGACTCCACATTTGAAGAGGTCCTCTAGAGAAACATCATCCGAACACTCCAGGAAAGATGGCCCTGGCCGTGCAAAGGCAGCCCCAGGGAGAGCACAGGGAAGATAACCATGAGCACATACAGCTCTAAGTGCTCTCGACTCCTGGCCCATACTACATGAAAGTGTAAAGTCCAGCCACTAAGGCAAATGACCATGAGAAAGTACGCTGGGGCCTGAACAACAGAGGGAGCACCCGATGCATGCTATTATCAGAGAAGAACTGAGGGTGGAGCAGCTGGCTGACCTCAGCGTACCCCCCCCCCCTGCCCCCCCAAAAAAAAGAAAAAAAAGAAAAGAAAAGGGGGAAGGTGGAATGAAATCATGATCATGAAATGATTTCATGAAACAAGCAGGCACTTGTTTCATGAAATTTTGATATGTTTACATTGTTGGAGGAGTTCTGTAGGTGTTTCTATAGGCTGCGATCTCATTTAAAGCCAACAGTAGTTTGTTTTGTTTCACCGACTTTCTGGGTGTCTTCCTCTGTGATGGCATGAACGAGTAACTTAATAAATGCCACTGCTCCCTGCTCCTCTGTGAAGGGGACCAGGTTCTGGCTCTTGGTCCCTGGTAGGCCTCAGAATTCCTTGACTGGTGGGACTTAGTAATGTGACTCACTTTCAAAGATAGTAGCTTCAGGGAGACACCAATACTCGGCCAGATATACAAAACATTCAGTAAAATAATAATTGGATTAATGAAGTTGGTAGTACAATATATAATTTTTTATTCCTGTCACTAAATTATTACAATATAGTACTGTAATAAGCTTAGGTTTAATAAAATGTTATTTGCTGCAGCATAATGTATTAGATAGGTTACCTATCTTGTCTGCTTAAATAACAAAATTATAATTAGTCCCTCTCATTTTCAGCTGCAGGCATCTGCATTTCCCTCTTCATTGGGGTTATATACTACTTCCCAGACAAACCTAGGAAGCCTCCATCTCTCACTTCCTTCATCCGTGAACAACCCAATCCGTTTGTAAAAGACATAAAAATCCTTTTGAGGTAAGTGCTCTCCTTGACAAACTTTTAAGCATGGTTGATAGCTATAACATTACTCAAGATGCTAGCAAATAGACACAAGTAAGCAACATTGAAATAGGGAGCAAGTTAGGAAAAGTGATCATAAAGAAATGAGTACAATATAATGTGGTTATATAAATTGTGTAAGAAAACAATCATGCGCCGATTCCCTGAAGTTACCCGAGGGCCACCAACTCTAGTGGCCTCGATATTGACAGGAAGCAGGACCTGATTAATATAGATTGGAAGACTTTTAAACACAGAGGGTTGGCAGTCCTTCAGAATTCTTGACTCCAGCAACAGGTGGCCTCACACTGATTTATACTATCTGCTTGATGGGGCTCTGGAAGTTCTTCTACCCCCCAAGCTTGGCCCAAGGCCAGGCTTGACTTGTGAGAGCTTGGTCCAACAGGCGGTTGCTTGGAGCAGCCCCGCAGGTCCATATATTCACCCACAGCTTGATTGGTCTGGTACATCTTGAAGAAGACTATCTAGTTTTCTCTTGTAGATGTCCACAGTTGTTCCGGCAATATTTCTTGTACTGTACTCGCTACTAATACAGTATAGTAGAAACTAATTTTACAAAGTGTCTAGAAATATCTTGCTTTTAGCTCGGGAACATATTTCATAATTATATGAAGCTCATAGCATAAATGCAGTTGCCATTTCATTTTTTAACAAATTAATTTATGAGAGATTATGAAAAAAAAGCTTTATCAGTTTTAACACAGAAAAAATCAATTTTGTCGATACCTATTACTAAAGCATATATACACAGGCGTTCTCTGACAAAATAAATTTTTTTTTAGTCGAATACCAAATAATTTGTATTCAATTAACACCCACTGATAAACTACATGAGAAGGGGAATAGTAATATACACTACTGGTATATCGGTGAAAATTTAAAGTGTAGCATCAAATAAATTTATGAAAACTAAGGTGTGCACAAACTGTTTAGTGAGAAGACTTTACAAAATGAAAGGAAGGAATATCTGGGCAAAAATATATATTAGTGACTAAGCTTAGTCACTGGTGCAGCTGTACTAATAAAATAATAATGCATAGTGCAGTATTTTATTAAACTTCATTGATTATTTGATTGCTCATGCTGCAAGCATTTGCAAATGCAATGGACAGTGTGGAGTCCTGGTTATTTCAGACTATCTAGTCCGTTGTACTGGAGTTTTTATAAGCAAAGATTGGTGGTGTTAAGAGCATATTTTATACAATGTATTGAACTGTACTGCATTTGTGAATTATTGAAGTTTCAAAAAATATTTAGGGCTGAGGACATTAAATAACATCATACATTTATTTGTTATTAACTATTTGTTAACATTTTGCAGTAACAAAAATATTTGGTTGCTAGTGGTGCCATACAGTATTACCCTTGGGATCAATGTAGCCTGGTCCAGTGTCCTTGACATCAATCTCGCTCCATTCGGCATTTCACAGGTTAGTAAGATAGTTTCATATAATAACATATGATTGCGAATTAGACATAAATAAGTGTTCAAAAGCATCTTCACATAATTTTATTGCACATTTAAGAAATTTAAATAAATAAATTTGCAATACTGTACTAGGAATGTTAAGGAATTTGCTGGCATAGAAACGTTACTTAAAATTAAAACATGTTATTTTCCCCTTATACTGCACAACACATCAGTAGCTGTGGTGAATAACTGTAGAGGAATTGCACATCACAGCTATTGGTGTGTTGGAGTACTGCACAAGATTTAAAAGTCCCGCGGCTACATGGGGTTCACATAAGCTTCCTCAGAGCTCTTGTAAACAGACACCTTTAAAAAAAATAAAAAATCATGGTCAAAATTTCTGGGTGTCAGTACTGAGTGAGCCACCAAGACTGGCACACTCAGCATGAGCTAACAGCACTGCTATTCAGCTTGTGACCACAGCATCGCCTAAAAATGTCAAAATATATATGAAACTGGTATTATTTAGCGATGATAGTATTACAGAAGGCTCCCCCCCCTTGTCTGTGATAAAAAAGACCAGGATTCTGATAATAGGATTTCCTTCGGTCCTGGTGGTAGGTTTGTTCGGTTGCAGCCATCTCCTTCGTTTCTGGCGAAGAAAGAGACGGCTGCTTTCTGGAGGTGTCCTTGGGTTGTTGATGCTTTGTTGGTCAGGCCGGGGGTGCATCATGTGTTTTGTCCGGTTGCGGCTTCGCCGTATTTTACACGCCCCGGCTTCGGTGACCGGGGATGCACTTTGGATTGACCCAGTTTCTCTCTCTCCCTATTCCCGGGCTCGGGTCTCTCAGGTTGTCCACAGGGTTATTAAGTCTAGCCAGCCTGTGGTCTATCCCTGTGCCCATGACTTTCGTAAGTTTGCTGCTTGGGTTATCTTGGGTTAACATTCGGGCACGGGGTTTTTGGAGGTTGAATAGAGTCCTGGCCTCTCGCTACCTTGTCAATGTCCCTGGACCTGGTAGGGCCTGCTTTGCATTGGGTCAGCAGTTGCAGCCAGTTATCTTGACTTCGCGTTGAGGAGTGAGGACCGTCCGCCTCCCGGGCGAGTCCCTGTTTTTCCTTGTCTTTGGGTAGTTGGCTCTGGGGGAGCCAACGGGGATACCCCCAGAAAACCAACGTTGAATGTAATGAAATGCCATTTTCTGGGTGAGTCCCGGAGGCTCCCCAGCATCCCTCCCTTTGGTCTGTGGTTTTTTCACGTGTTTTGACCTCCAGTGTTAAGAACTAGTGGTTGGATCGCCGGCACGAGGGTCTGGGGTTCCCCCCTCCCCCCTCCCGGGGAGGGGTGGATTGCGCAGACAGGGGCGCGGCAATGTGATGACGTCATGCTCTTCTGCTAATTTTCGCTTGGGGGAGTTGTGTCCACTCGTTCGGTTTTCGGTACCAACAGTTTCACCAGAATAGGGGGTTTGTTTTGGGATGCCCACCTTTCTGGGTGTCAGATCCAGTCGATGGCAGACATGGAATACTCCCAGCCACATGGGGTTTCTATAGGCAATTGCTCCTTGCGCCTCTCTGAGACATTCAGGTTCTGGCTTGTGGTCCCCTGTAGGCAAGAACTCCATGCATATAGACTGATGCCAGAAACGTGTACATATCCATTCAGTCTGAATAGCTCCGGGGAACCTCCGGGACTCCCCCAGAAAATGGCGTTTCATTGCATTCAACGCTGGTGTTTTATCACAGTCGGGGATCTTCTGTAATATCATCGCTAAATAATATTTGTTACATATATTTCTGGGGGAAGCCCTGTCGGCTCCCCTGGAGCTATCCAGGCTGATATTGCTAATGTCAGACTTTGGCATCAGTTATGTGTATGGAGTTCTTTTAGGCCTACTGGGGACCACGAGCCAGAACCTGGCCCCCCTCAGAGAGGCACGAGGAGGAATAGAAACCCCCATGTGGTTGGAAGCATTCTATGTCTGCCATTGACTGCGTCAGGCACCCAGAAAGGTAAGCATCCTTAACCCTTAACATGCTCGGGGTTTAATATCATGTCATCCCCACAGGCGCATGTCATTTTGAAAAAAAAAAAAAATATTTTTTCTTCCTAACCTGTTAATTTGTGTTCACTGATCACGGGAAAAATAATAAAAAAATCGTAAGTGGCATATATTGCCCGCTATAGGGCGGGGAAGTCTGGCAAATTATAGGCGCTGACTCAGCGTGCGTCCCAGGCAGTCTGTTGCTCGCCAGCTGTCAGGCCAGAGTTGCCACAAAGAGATAATTACCGAATTATTTCAATGTCTCTGATTGATTTTTCATACTTTTTTTGCTGTAATATTATTCAATAGTGTGTAGTTTGATATATTTATATAATAAAATGAGTGAATCATTGCTGTACTCAAAAATATGGTATGCATATTGTTGATTCAATTTTGTTCATCAATCAGTGAACAAATACTTTGTCGGTTATTACATTATAAGCACAGGTTATATATAAGTATCTGCATGTTTTGTTCACTATAACGAACCACTAAGTAGCTATTATGAGTCAAAAAGTAACGAGGAGTGACCGCCGTTTACCAGCCAGCCACTCCCGCCCTCCCTCCAGTCATCTGACTCGCCCACATTCTCCTCCTACGATAATGTTTTTGCTATAATTCACTATATACAGACGTTATATATAAGTATCTACATGTTTTGTTCACCATAACTGTACATCTAAGCTTGTATGGTGAGTAAAGGCACAAAGATGTGGCTACTCACACAGTCAGCTGATCGGCAGCCGCCCTCAAGGCCAGACGCACTAATATTTCTCCTCCAACAATATTGTGTGGTGGTATTACGCTATATACACACATTATATATAAATATCTACCTGTTTTATTCACCATACTTGTACAAATAAACTGGTATGGTGCCCAAAGACCATCGTGGTAACCAGTAAACCACACCGACGCCACCGCCCTCACCAAAATGGCGGCTCCAAACCTTCTCTTGCTGTTTATACCCTCTATACACACGTTATATATAAGTATCTACATTTGTGTTCACCATAGCGAACCACTAAGCTGGTATGCTGAGTGCAGTCAATAAAAGGTGGCCGCACACAGTCAAAAGACATCGCCACCACCCTCCCTCCCACAGCATTACTCCTCCCTCCATGGCGCACAGCGCTAAATATCACCACAATCCTGCTATTATCAGAACCCTGGTCAGTTTTATCACAGTCAGGGGTCTTCTGTAATAATATCATCACTACATAATAGCATGAACAAGTATAATTTGGCATTTTTAGGCGATGCTGTGGTCACAAGCTGAACAGCAGTGCTGTTAGCTCATGCTGCATGCGTCAGGCTTGGTTGCTCACTCAATACTGAGGCCAATAACACCCGGGAGTTTGGCCCACGATTTTTTTTTTAAATGGCGTCTGCTTACAAGAGCCCTGATGAAGGTGTGGTGAACCCCGTGTATCCGCGGGCTGTTTAAATCTTGCGTAGTACTCCAACACATCATATGACGTGATGCGCAGTTGACTGGAACAACGTCCAGCACGTCATATAACGTGATGCGCACTCTAAGGGTTAAACAAACTCCTATTCTGGTTAAGAAATTGCTACTGAGAGCCGAATAAGTGGACAGAACTCCCAAATTAAAAACGAGCTAACGAGCATGACGTCACCACGTTGCCACATCGCCATCTGTGCATCTCCCCCCTCCCCCCTCCCAGGGAAGGGGAAGGGGGAGCCCCAGACCCCTCGGGCTGGCTACCCAAGACCCCAGTTCTGAGGCTGACGCTCTAGGCAGAGGTCGTATGCTCTGGCTCCAGACTTGGTTTCAGCTCTCTTCCTTGTGGCGTGGTGGTTGTCTTTTAGGGTGTTTGCGAGCCAGGAGTACTTATTCAGTACTCGGGCTGCATGTGCCTAGGGTTTCCTTCCCTAGATGCCCGGTAAGTACTGCCTTTGGGGCTTGGGGCCACCTTCCACAAGTTCCTTGGGTTCTGCCTCTGCTAGGCTGTTTACTGCTCGGTTTTTGCCCGCCCTTTGCGTGCTAGGGTGTTCTGACCCCCTTGTTCACCTTAGGGTAAAAGGCAGTTTGCACTGGTAAGGGTACTGCGCAGCTTGTTTTCACCAATCATAGCGCCCGGCTCTATTCTGCCTGGGTACGCTGTCTTGCGGGGTTTTTCTTTTTTCTTTTTGTTGCCTGCCTGGTGGGGGAGTCTGCCTTGGTTCTTGCCCCCTGTGTACTGAGTACTCTTCTCTATTTCAGTGGTACCCCTTGCTTTTTCCCCGTGAATGTACACATCTTGGGGGTTCAGTTCTTGGAAAGTTGTTTGGTAGACTTGGGCACCGATTAGCAGTACCCTGTCTGGGCTTCCCTGAGCATGAGTTCCGTCTCTTTGGGGGTGGTCGCTTCAGGTGACTCGTTTGCCGAGTTCTCGGGGTTTGGCTCTCCTGGCGGTTGACGTTCAGGGGCTGTCAGATGTCCTGGCGGATGGCCTGTCTCTGTTCATTCCCCTATCCATGGAATGGACGGTCGACACAGACTCGTTCAGTTGGCTCTGCCTGACATATGGGCACCTAGAGGTGGACCTCTTCGCAACGACTTGGTCGAGGCACTTTCCAGTGTATGTGGTGCCCTTCCCAGACTGCGATACCTTTCATAGCAGGCATCGACTGTGGTATCGATGCCTTTCGGCTGGACTGGTCGAGTTGGGGTTACCTGTACCTCTTCCCACCGGTTCGGTTGTTGTTCCGGGTCTTGGTTAGCTCAGAGAAACTTACCAGGGATTAGTAGTCTTATTGGGTCTTTGGTGGCCGGCCCAGCCCTTGTTTTCAGGCGCTTCTTGATCGGTCAGAACACGAGGGTCTTCCTGCGGCTCCGCCTCTTTCAGCAGATCGATCCATTCTAGTATGTGGCTGGTTCAATCTTCTCTGCTTCTCGCGTCTGGTCTTTTTGATTCGGGTTTATCACCATTTGTATAGTGATCAGGTGGCTCAGTTGGTGTCCCACCTGCAAGTTTCGTCTCGACTGCAGTACCATATGAGATTTCCTGGCGGTCTTGTTGGCACTTGTATCTTCGTAGGTTGTCTTCGTTTCCTGGTCGGGTTGTTCTGTCCTTTCTCTCTTGGTTGTTTCAGGACCGTCTTCTTATGCCTGATACTGTCACCTCGTTTCGGGTGGTGCTGGCGGAGCCGCTGCAGCTTGCATTTGGGGTGGATGTCACTTCTGCTCCATTCTGCAAGCTTTCTCGGGCTTTGTTTTCACCTCCGACCTGCTTGTGCACCACCTGAGCTATCCTGGTCATTGCACCAGGTGCTCTCTTCTCCCTTCTCCTCGGTTTCGGGTGTCCCCCTCGGTTCAGGACTGTTTTCTAAGGCTCTCTTTCTTGTTGGCATTGGCCTCTGGAGGTCAGGTTGGAGAGTTTCATGCTCACCTATGGCGCAGGGGTTTCTGCTCTTTCGGTCCTGGTGGTCTTTTCTTCATTTGCAGCTGTCTCTTTCTTTTCTGGCAGCAGAATGAGTCTGCTGCTTTCCGAAGGGGGTCCTTGGGTCATTGATGCTTGGTTTGTTTGGCCAGGGGTACATCATGTTTTGACTTTGTGGCTCTTCGCCGTTATTTGCGCGTTACGGCCTTTGTGGCAGAGGATGCCCTTTGGGTTGACCCAGTTTTCCTTATTCCATATTCTAGGGCGCGGGTCTCCCAGGTTGTTCGCAGGATTATTCTGTTTAGCCAGCCTGCGGTCTTTCCCCCGTGCCCCCGCCGTTCGTAAGTTCGGCATTCGGCTGCTGTTTTGGTAATGTCCTGACCTATCTTTTGGGCACGGGGCTATTGGAGCTCGAACAGGGTCCTGGCTGCACGTCACCTTGTTAATGTTCCTAGTCCTTCTTGGGCGTGAATTGCCTTGGGTCGCAGGTTGCAACCTGTTGTCTTGACTTTAAGTTGGGGAGTGAGTGACGACTGCCTCCCGGGCGAGTCTCCTTTTTTTTCTTATCTTTGGTTAGGTAACTCCGGGGAGCTGAAGGAGCTCTCCATAGTAAACCAGCTTTGAATGTAATGAAACGCCATTTTCTGGGTGAAACCCGGAGGCTCCCGGGCATCCCTCCTTCCCTCCGGTCGGTGGTTTTTCGCGTTTTTGATACTCGGCCTCTGAACCGAGGAGAATTGCCGGGATGAAGGTCTGGGACTGCCCTCTCCCATCCCCCTCCCGGGGAGGGGGAGGTTGTGCAGACGGATGCGCGGCGGTTGTGGTGACATCATGTTTGTTTCCTTGTTTTTGATTGGGGAGTTCTGTTTGCTAGTTCGGCTTTCAGTTTGCAATTTTTGACCAGCAGTAGTTTTTGAAATTCCTACCTTTCTGGGTGTCTGACCTGGTAGATGGCAGACAAAAACTGCTTCAATTACACGGGGGTGTCTTTAGGCCATTGCCCCTCGTGCCTCTTTTGAGGGGGGGGGGGGGGGTTGGGCCAGGTTCTGGCTCTGGTCCCCGGTAGGCCTAGAACTCCTTCGATTGACTGTTGCCACGGTCTAATATATACACATCAGCCTGTTATATCTCTGGGGAGCCTCCGGGTCTCACCCAGAAAATTGTTTCATTTCATTCAATGTTTTTTTTTTTTTTTTTTTTTTTTAATATCTGTGATCAGGGAAGGGTATTTAACATTTTCAAAAACAAAAACAAATTTTTTGCCAAGAATTTATTTCCTGTACACGGGGGAGGGGGGGGGGTGTTGCCATATTTGGAGCCCGAGCAGCACAGTGGTTAAGGGTTGATGCCCATGGTTCAGTCTATAATTTCAGATTCTAACTGTATCTTTTGTTTCTTTTATTCCCAAAAAATTGTCTCGATAAAATAAAAATTCTGTAATATTATTGTAATGCCTGCTGATTTATGTATTGAGTAACAATTTTATAAAAATAGTGAAGACTAAGGGCTTGCATTAAAAAACTCTTCTGGCAATTACGTAGGGTTGCAAATCCTTAGCATATCCATTTTAATTATGATTTGTAAATACTTTCCAATACTTGTATTTTTAGTTAATCTGATTTGGTTTTAGGTTTTCATATTAAAAAAAAATACACAAGAACTAGTTGTATACTAGTTGGCACCGTATACTACTATACTAGTTGGCACCGTATACTACTATACTAGTTGGCACCGTATACTGCTATACTAGTTGGCACCGTATACTGCTATACTAGTTGGCACCGTATACTGCTATACTAGTTGGCACCGTATACTGCTATACTAGTTGGCACCGTATACTACTATACTAGTTGGCACCGTATACTGCTATACTAGTTGGCACCGTATACTGCTATACTAGTTGGCACCGTATACTGCTATACTAGTTGGCACCGTATACTACTATACTAGTTGGCACCGTATACTACTATACTAGTTGGCACCATATACTACTATACTAGTTGGCACCGTATACTGCTATACTAGTTGGCACCGTATACTGCTATACTAGTTGGCACCGTATACTGCTATACTAGTTGGCACCGTATACTACTATACTAGTTGGCACCGTATACTGCTATACTAGTTGGCACCGTATACTGCTATACTAGTTGGCACCGTATACTACTATACTAGTTGGCACCGTATACTGCTATACTAGTTGGCACCGTATACTACTATACTAGTTGGCACCGTATACTGCTATACTAGTTGGCACCGTATACTACTATACTAGTTGGCACCGTATACTACTATACTAGTTGGCACCGTATACTGCTATACTAGTTGGCACCGTATACTACTATACTAGTTGGCACCGTATACTGCTATACTAGTTGGCACCGTATACTACTATACTAGTTGGCACCGTATACCACTATACTAGTTGGCAACGTGCCATCAGTACCAATTTTCTTGCGGATGAAAAAATCAAAATCAAATATTTAGTTGACTGATTTTTGACAATTAAAGCTGAAAATATAGCTAATAATCTAGGCTTTTAATATGGCAGTAGGAAAATGATGGAAATGACTGGCACCCCCATAAGAACTCTGTTTTTTTTTTAGTTTACATTTAATAATAATAATAATGGGTTGAATATTATAATAATAAGTGTTTGAAGGTAACAGCCAACATGCAAATGAAGAATTAAGATGTTGATTAATGTCTTTCAGGATGAAGCCAGCTGGTTGGGCGTTTATGTAACATTAGGCGGTGTTGTGATGGCTATATTAGGTTCCAGATTTTCTGACCTTTTATTCGGGTACATGAAGGTGACAATTATGACGCTAATGGTGGTTGCGACAGCAGGATACACCTGGTTTCTTCTAATAATGAATCATTGCCTTCCATACAACAAAGGTAAAGTACAGTTATGTATTTTAACTGATGGCAATTTCTTTGTATCGTTCTCTTACCATGAGTGATAGTTTTTGTCAAATATATTCAATTTTAATGGGTGACTCAGACCATATTTCTGTGGGGAGCCCTGTTGGCTCCCTGGAGCTATCGGACTGATAATAGCTATATTAGTCAGATAGCTCCAGGGAGCCTTCAAGGCTTGCCCAGAAGATGGCATTTCATTACCTTCAACACTGGTTTTATATATTCACTCATATCCTGGATACCAAGGATGAATGGCAAATCATTAGTAAAAGATGTTAATGTAGCTTTTATATATTTTTCACTTCTCAAATGCATATGTAAATGGTTTCATAGGGGTGATTTAACTGATAACAACTCTCTCATTTGATATTTACCTGAAATTATGAGGGTCACTGATGTCGATGGTGAGGATTTTTTCCAACTGGATTTTGAATTGAAGTAATGTCTTGGCATTTACAGCTTCAGTGGGTAGGCTGTTTCTATGGGTTTATAACTCTATTGGTGAAAGGCCTCTCCTGTTTTCTGTGCTATATTAAGGTTTGTTGATCTTGAATCTGTTCCCTCTTGTATGTATTACAGGCGATAGGGGGAGGGGGGGGAGGCTTGCGCTGTTTGCTCACACTTGGTCCCACAATTTGTGGGTGTTTTGGGTCGTTTCCACCAGTCTTTGGCGGCGTTTTGTGCCTCCTCCTCCTCCAGGGGATTTGGGGGTCATGGTGCAGGCTTCTTCCCCGGCACTCCTTCGGGTCATCTTCGAATGGGTGCGCTTGGGTGTGGTCGAAACGACTCCGTGCCTCAGGTGGGTTTCCCCACCTATTTCCAGTGACAAAACGGGACTGTGCAGATCTACTGTTCATTCTGGACTTGTCCCATCTGAAACCCCCTAGATTCCTTGCCCCACCTTTCGGATCACTACTCTCACAGGTCTGGCTTCTCTTGGAGTCGGGTGCCTGGATGGTGTCCCTGGACCTCAGGGTACACCATCCACTGTCATGGTGTCATTCCTGCACGATGGGGGAATTCGCAGCAGTTTGGCTGTCGCTTCGGAGGGTTCGGGTTTTTGCTCCGGGGGTTCATTGTCTGAACCGCGGTGGTTCTCTTTGGTCCTTGGCTCTTTGCAGCTGGTCGCTTTGAGTGATTCGTCTGCTGGATTCTCGGGGTTTGGTTCTCTGTGTGGTTCATATCCAGGGAGTGTCCAACGTCCTGGCGGACAGCCTGTCTTGGTTCATTTCCCTGTCTACAGAATGAACGTTTGACGCCAACTCCTCCAGTTGTCTCTGCCGGACGTACGGGCATCCAGAGATGGACCTCTTCGCGTTGGCAGGGTCTAGGCACCTCCCTATATGTATATGTGGCGCCCTATCGCGACTGCAATGCTGTCGTGGTGGACGCCTTTTGGTAGGACTGGTCAAGGTGGGGTTCCCTGTACCTCTTTCACCCCGTCCAGCTGTTGCTTTGGGTCCTGGATCATTTGGAGACTTGCCATGGGTGAATAGTCCTATTGGTCTGTTGGTGGCCACCCCAGCCTTGGTTTTAGGTGCTGCTCGGTGTTCGAACCCGAGATGTTTTCCACGGCTTTGCTTCTTTCAGCAGATCGGACCGGTCTGGTACATGGCTGGTTCGATTTTCTTTTCCGCTCTTTGTGTCTGGTCTTTTTGATGGTTTATCACCATTTGTATGGTGATCAGGTGGCTTCGTTGATGTCCCACCTGAGAGCTTCGTCTCGACGACAGTATGAAGTTTCCTGGCGTTCTTTGTGCCATTTTCTTCTTTTTTGTAGGTTGTCTTTTATTTGTGATCGGGTTGTCTTGAACTTTTCAGAACCCTCATTTGATGCCAAATACTGTCGTCTCAAATTGTGTGGCGCTGGCAGAGTGGCTCCAGCTTGCGTTCGGGTGGGTGTCACTTCTGCCCTGTTCCATAGCTTTCTTGTGCTTTGTTTCACCTCTGGCCAGTTTGTGCTGCCTGAGCCATCCTGGTCTTTGGACAGGGTGCTCTCCTATCTCATCTCTTCTCAGTTTGTAGTGTGTCCCGTTTGGTTCAAGATTGTTTTCCCAAAGCTCTTTCTGTTGGCATTGCCTTCTGGGGATTGGGTTAGTGCGCTTCATGCTCTTCTCTGGCACGGGTTTCTGCTCTTTCGGTCCTGGTAAAAGTTTTGTTCAGTTTCAGCCTTCTCCTTCTCTTGCGAAGAACGAGATGGCTGCTTTCCAGAGGGTCCTTGGTTCATTGATGCTTGATTGGTCAGACCAGGGGTGTGTGGAAAACCTTCCAACATATAGTTTACTATAAACATAAAATAATTAATAATTTGGATGAATATTATTGAGTGGACTGTATGAATTTTAAATGTTAGATAATGCCACTTCCACAAATTTTGGGGATAGATTTAATACTGCTAGATCTAACTAATAAACATAATATATTGCATAATTTCAATAATAAAATTTTATCAGGAAATAAGGGTTATGGAGTTAGTAAACTAACTACAATATCATAACAAGTAATGATCAGCTTAGCTGCCGAGTAGATAAGGAGAAGTGTGTCTGACAGTCCACCGAAATAGGTAATTACAGGATTCTACCGAAGTTAATTACCTAAGTGTAGTTACAGGATGAGAGCTACGCTCGTGGTGTCCCCGTCTTCCCAGCACTCTGTCATATAACGCTTTGAAACTACTGACGGTCTTGGCCTCCTCCACCTTCTCACCTAACTTGTTCCTACCGTCTACCATTCTATTTGCGAAAGTCAATTTTCTTATATTTCTTTGGCATTTGTGTTTAGCTAGTTTAAATCTATGAACTCTTGTTCTTAAAAGTTCCAGGTCTCAGGAAATCTTCCCTATTGATTTTATCAATTCCTGTTACTATTTTGTATGTAGTGATCATATCGCCTCTTTTTCTTGTCTTCTGGTTTTGGCATATTTAATTCCTCTAACCTCTCCTCGTAGCTCTTGCCCTTCAGTTCTGGGAGCCACTTAGTAGCATGTCTTTGCACCTTTTCCAGTTTGTTGATGTGCCTCTTAAGATATGGGCACCACACAACTGCTGCATATTCTAGCTTTGGCCTAACAAAAGTCGTGAACAATTTCTTTAGTATATCGCCATCCATGTATTTAAAAATCTCAATGTGATGGCGTCATGGACATGTGGTTCACCAGTCAAGGTGATCTGCTCTCGTCGCCTTAATTCCACGCTGTGAAAGGCATAAATTGTAATTTCTATTGAACTACAGTTACATTAACTAATACCCATTGAAGGAATTAACCGATTCCCAGTATTAGACTTACTAGGTTTATTTGATTCTACATCCTAACGATTGGATAATCTATCACTGTGTTCATGGCCATAAAAATGATAAGATTACTCATCCAACTGGACGTGGTGTCCTCGATGCTAGGTGAAGCAGGCAGCAACGTCTGGAACTCATTAACCCTTAGGCCGCTAAGAGGCTTTTTGCCTTCTTCACCCACAGGCGCAACAAAAAAAAATCCAAAAAATTCTTTTGTCTTATAAAAGTATTTGTGTCCCTGATCACGGGAAAAATAAAAAAAAAACAATCGTAGGTGGCATATTTTGGGCGCAATATGGCGGGGAAGTCTGGCAAAAAAGGGGCGTTGACAAAGCAGGTGCCAGACGAAGTCTGCTCCGCCCGAGCTGTCAGACGGGAGTTGCCACAAAGATATTACCTAATTATTTCAGTGTGTCTGATAGTTTTTTTTTTTTTTTTTTTTTTTTTGCAGTAATATTATTCAGTAGTGTGTATTGTGATATATTTATATAATAAAATGTGTGAACCATCGCTGTACTCAAAATTATGGTATGCATATTAGTGATTCAATTATGTTCATAAAACAATAAACAAATAGTTTTGCTGTTATTACACTATATACACATGTTATATATAAGTATCTGCAAGTTTTGTCCACCATAATGAACTACGAAGTTGGTATTGCGAGTCAAAAAGCAACAAAGAGTGGCCTTCACTCACCAGCCAGTCAGCCACTCGCCACCACTCCCTCGCTCACCTCCTCACTTGCCAACATACTCCTCCAACCATACTGTTTTTGCTTTTATTCACTATACACAGATGTTATATATAAGTATCTACATGTTTTTTTTTCACCATAACTGTACATCTAAGCTTGTATGGTGAGTTCAGGTGATAAGAGACGTAGCTACACACAAAGTCAGCTGGTGGCGGTCAGTCACTGGTTCAAGGCCAGACGCACTAATATTTCTCCTCCAACAATACTGTTTGTGGTGTTATTACACTATATACACACATTATATATAAGTATCTACGTGTTTTATTCACCATACCTGTACAAATAAGCTGGTATGGTGCCCAAAGACCATAGTGGTCACCAGTAAACAACATGACATGTTATGCAGGCGACGCACCGCCCTCACCAAAATGGCGGTTCCTAACACACTCCTATTGCTGTTATTACACTCTATCACATGTTATATATAAGTATCTACATTTGTGTTCACCGTAGCGAACGACTAAGCTGGTATGACAAGTCCAGTCAATAACAGGTGGCCACACACAGTCAGCAGACGACGCCACCACCCTCCCTCAGCATTACTCCTCTCACCATGGAGCATAGTACTAAATATTACCACAATCCTGCTATTATCAGAATCCTGGTTAGTTATATCAGTCAAGGGTCTTCTGTAATACTATCATCGCTAAATAATAGCATGTATGTATATATTTTAACATTTTTGGGCGATGCTGTGGTCACAAGCTGAACAGCGGTGCTGTGAGCTCATGCTGCGTGCACCAGCCTTGGTGGCTCACTCAGTACTGAGGCTCTCAAACTTGGGAATGTTGTCTGCGATTTTTTTCTAGTTGGCGTCTGTTAACTATTGGTTGTGGCTGGACTATAGCTGCCCCTATCCCTTGCGGGGCATTTAAAATCTAGCACTAGACATTCCAACATCTATTGATGTATTGCGAGGTATCGGTAAAGT